AAGAAGAAAGAAGAGGAAAAAAAGAGTAATCTGATACAATTTGATGAACTTGACCTACACCTATGGATGCAGTAGCTCAAAAGAGGGAACAAATCCTTAAAGCAAGAATCATTCCCACCCACCACCTCCATACACAGAGTAGACAGGGATGGGCAACCTGGACATTGGCTACCCAAAATGATGGGGCTACAAAGGCAAAAAGTGATTGACTTACAAGCTTTCAAGAGGGAACCTAGATTCAGATGGTGTAAAAAAAAAGAAAAAGAAAGAAACAAAAAATAGATAGAAGTCAATGTTGGACATTCAAAGTGAGACCAACACAAAGCAGTCATCTAAGGTCATTGGAGAGTACACGCATAATGCAGGACAGTATTAGGGGTCATTCAACATTGTGTGAGGGGTTTTACTTTAGTCATGTTCACCTACACTTGGACAAGCATGGTGCTGAAGCAAAAAAGTCACCCAATATTGTGATTCAGCCAAGAAGTATGATAATGTGAGAATGGGCAAGAGAGTTTAGAGGGTGTTCAAGATAGAATTTAAACAGGGGAAAGAGGGGGAAAAGGACTTGAAGAGTTTGGGTAAGACAGTGAAAAGGTGGTAGAACAAGTAGATTAAAAGTCCTGCAGACATCCAAGGACTGTTGAAGTTGAGACACTAGAGGAAGTAAGACAAAGATAAAAAGTGGTAGCAAATGAATGAGACATTTGAAATGACAGCTCCTGAGGAGCAGCAGTTACCAACATTGACACAGTCAAGGGACAATATTACTAAAGTTTGTCCAGACAAACGACTAAGAGAACTTACTACTCATAAACCCTGAGGGAACTAAGGCTGTATTTCTGGAAAAAATACTTATACCTAACTGGAAGAAGTTAGATTCAATAAACAATGGTGAGCAAAGAAACTGATACAGCATAGGAGTATATTTAATCAAGCACTGATCCTACATCATTACTAAGTGCTGTTGAGTCAGATCCAACTCGTAGCAAACCTACATATGTTTCCGAGGAGAGCCTGGTTCAACTCAAACTTGCAGCCCAGTGTTTTATCCTACAGTGCCACACCACTACTCCTGATCCTATGAAGCCATGCAAAAAATAGTGACTATTTTAGGAAGATTTGTAAGCAAGATAGAATTCAAATGCTGAGCAATAATTACAAGTAAAATAAAAGGGGAAATCAGTTAATATGGGAGTCCTGGTGTGAGGCTCTATGTTAAGCACTGGACTGCTAAGCTCAAGGTCAGCAACTCAAACTCACCAGATGCTTCTCAGAAATCCTTTACAGGATGACTATGAGGTGGAACAGACTCAATGGCACTGAACAACAACAAAAGACCTTATATTAGTCATAAAGTTGTTTTTTTCTTTTAAGACAAGTTGATTATCTTTGGACTCTAAGTGAAATCATACTTATTAAATAATCTCTAAACTACATAAAAGCTCAAATAAGAAAAAGAGTAGTAAATTGACTAAAAAAGTGATCACTCCCAATAGAAAACAAAAGAGGAGGAAAATAAAGCACGGGAGTTTGGTTTAAAAATACACCAAAAAGTATAGCAACAAATGCAAATATACCAATATTTATAATAAATGTTTATGGGTTGATACCTGTTAAAACACAGATATTCACAATATTATCTTTTAAACGTCTGCTATATGGTGTTCACATGAGATGAATTTAAAATCCAAGAGCACAGAGGAGTATAAACAGGTAGAAAAAAGCATGCCAGTGTAATAATATTCAAAAGAATGCTAGTATGGCAAAATTGACATAAACTGAGGAGCTCTGGTAG